TATTTTCACGTATTGAAGAGAAGAAGAGGAGATGACATAGTCTGGAAGTCTTTTATAATCAGGTATACTCTGTTTTGTGGAGTTCTGTTTCTTATGTTGGCATGTTCGGTTTTTGACTTTGAATACGTTTTTTAGTTTTAATAAGACATATTAGACGGCAAAAAAAAAAGAAAAAACCAGAAATCTCAAAAAGTCTCTGAGCCAAAAGATCAAAGATTTTCAGACAACAGACAAATCTCAGATTGACAAAATCAAGTTATCATCAATGCATAGTCAAGCTAAATATAACCTTAGAGAAAACATAAATTAGATTACAAAGAGATGAAAAATCCAAGTCGATGAGCTTTGCTTTCAATGACGTTCTAACAAACTCTCATTTACATGCCCACGGTAAAAATGGTCTACTAAACTCCTTTACTTTCTTCTACTTCCACACTAAGCTCTCTCTCTTTCTTTCATCAGGTCTCAACATTCGCTCTGTTTCCGGCGAGAATAATGGAGATCTCGAGTCCGCGACTGAAGAGACAATGATAATATGTTAGCGAATAAGTTTGAAAAGAAAACATCAAATCTGGAGAAGAAAAGAAACTAATGAAAATCTTAACACACACCTTAAACAAGAGCACGATAGCAACCAACACAATCCACGAGTAGCCATAGATCTGCAAAACAGAAAACATAGTCAACTCTCTTGCAATAATATATAGTAAAGGTATTGCACTGTAAATAGCTCCTACAAAGCAAAAACACAGTCTAATACACTCCAGTTTTTTACCATGATCAAGCAAAATGCTAAACAATTTTTCAAATACTCGGTTAAAATTGAACTTAAACGAAAATACAAGCCAAAAAGTTAGCTTTACCGCAAGTGAGGTGTTTTTCCCAGTGAGATTGAGCTTGTACACGATGCCATATTGAAACATGAAGAACCGCAAGCTCAAAATGGTCTCCAAAATCCGTCCTGTTAATGTTTGCATACTAGGATATGACCCGCGGTACACCGCGGGTTAATTTTTTTTTATTTATGCTTAGTTTTTAGAAACTGATGAATTTTTTGTGTATAGTATTTCTTGTTGTTGTTGTTTTTGTTTTTGTTGATTATAAAAAGATGATTAATCGCGGCCGAGTCCGTGCCGTAAGGGTTCGGTCTCTAGTCTGGACCATTTCGGTGGGGCCAGGACACTCGGTTATCGAAAAAAAAAAAAAGATAATTAATAATCTACGGTTTGTAGTTAGTCGTAAATTTCCGAGATTATGTAGTCTAATGTTATTTTGTCTTTTATCTTGTTTTCTTGAATTACTTTTTGTTATAAACTTATGATATTTTTTGTTATATAGATTTTTGGTATACCACTGGGTATGTATGTATATATATATATATATATATATATATATATATATTGTTATTGTTGTATTAATTTTTTTTTTAATGTTTTATTGGTATAGACTTATGTTTGATTTTAGGTACACAGCAGGTAAATTTTATTTATAACTAAAAATATAAAATTTAAGTTATATTTGTTTTGTTAATATTATTTGTTTTGTTTAATGTTTAAGATTGTATAAATGTATTTTGATTATTATTTTTAGAATTTCACCCGTGGTATACCGTTCCGTATTAATATTGCCACAACCCGTCTTACCAATCACCATATAACCCATCACGGAAATAAA